CGAGGCGCTGTGGCTTAACGATCCGCCAAGCACCCTGCTATCGCGACGTAATGGAGCGCATTTCACAGCGGGAAAAGAGGAAAGAGGAATGATGGCGCATGCAGAAGCGGCAGCCATGGTAAGCGCCAGATGCGGGTAGAACGACAGAACCGCAACCGAATGTCACCGCAACCTAATGTGACCGCGAGAGAATGTGATTGAGAGCTAAAGGGAATGGCAGAGCGATGAGAATGTAGCCTCTGTACACAGGCAGCCCAGACAGGGACTTTGAAAGGGACCCAAAGAGCAGGTTCCCGTTGTGTCCTTCCTCACAAGCGCCGTCTACGGCTGAGAAAGCGAAGTGATGTGCCTCGTCGCTAACGCCTTCTCTCTGCAGTAGTCAGTGCGAGGCAAAGTCTACCTTGTCGAGGCTATACGGAGCTCGAATCTGTGATAATCTCTCTCTGCTCGTCCACGCTGATTGATATGAATAAAGCACTTGCCTGTAGAACAGGGCTAATCTGATCAATCCAATCCATCGATCGGGGGGATTGGTTTGGAGAGCGGAATCCACATTGCTTGGAGATCACGCAAGCAGGTTATGGAAATGGGATGGGATGGAAGTAAATGGGATGGGATTTTGTGTTGCACCGAACTGATTATGCCAAGGTGTACCATTGCGTGGCATCCGAGACACGTGTCATGTCACGTCAGGGGGTAGCGTGTGTGCACATTCTTGTGAGGGGTATGAGGTGTAGCACACACTCTGGATGATTGCTTATAGCTGTTATGGAGATCATAGCTCACAAAAATCACCACTACATCCTTTCCAGTCAACAATTCTACTCACATCAACCTCTACATCACACCGCCTGACATCACCAAAAACCACCACTTCCCTCTTATCCTTGCTAATATCCAGGGGGCTTGAGATATAGATTCATGCCATGGCCCTTCAAAAACACTCCGTTGCAAAGGTTTGGTGTGACCATCGTTGCCTGCGCTTTCGGTCCTGCTCCTACTTTTCCCAGCGTAACACTCCCTTTGAGCTTCGGAAACACCTGGATCGGCACGCCTCGCAGCACGGTCCGAATCTTGGCCCCGGGAGCTAGCTTTGCCAGCTGTGCAGAAGTGTAACGCTTAGTCAGCACGTTATACTGGCCAATGACGGTCATGGCAGTCATGTTGGTGAGGGTTCTGAGTCCCAGGGCGTAGAGGCCCTTGTTGGTGGGAATTAGGAGAGTGGTGTTGAATAATCCCTTCATGTCCGCGGGAGAACGCTTCACTGCGAGTGAGGGTGTTGGAGGAAGAAACGGGGGAAAAAAGTGGAGGGAACGGGAGAAGAGATGGGGGGAGAGAAGGGGGGAGGAGGGGGTGATGAGGAAAGGGAGCGTTGGGAGAGGCTTCTGAGGAAGGGGGTGATGGAGTGAGAGACCACGGGGCTATTGCACACGCTTCAAAGGTCAGATGTTGGACAATAAAAGTGTTGAAAAACGGCGAAACGACACGAGTGTTGCATGGAGAGCAGCTGCTGATGGGTGGACTAAAGTCGCGTGTGGGCTTAGGGATGCAAATGCTACAGCCCGCGTAAATGCCTCCATGTGTCGAGCATGCTGGGAGGGAGGAGAGACGTTCAAAGGGAGCCATTCGTCACGTTTAAAGGGAGCGAATAAGAGACTACCAGGGCAAACGCGGCGAAACCGAAGCACATGCGGAGAGGAATGGCGAGCGAGGAATGTCAGGGGGACGTGGAGCGATGCGTCGCATCACAAGTAATAGGTACGCAGCGCAAATTGCGGCAAGAGGCAGATTCCTCGATGATAACTCCGCGCAGCGAAATTTGCTGGACCGAAGGCGTGAGCTTGGCTTGGAATCATTTTCTATGCCAGAGCCAACGACAAGGCAAGAAATATATACAATAACGCCCGGGCTCTGGGAATAGCCTTAGAGAAATTTAGCAAGTCGCATATAACCTTCACGGCTTTCTTTTCTGGGCTCGGAGCTTCGCGATGGGAAGTGACTCTAATACAGTTCTGTCCACGGACTTTCGCGGTGTGGGAAGCTAAAGGTCCAAGTGATGGTTCACGCAAATGCACACTCGTTTTACGCGGTGTGACTGCCGGTGTGGTTGCTTTTCGTGTGGTTGCTTCTATCAATCCTTACTACCTCGCCGTGCCGTAGAGCATGGATTCCGTCCGCCGCGATTCCCGCATACCGTCTCTGATGCAGAGGATGCCGCACTTAACGCCACGATGTCCCGCGCATGGTTCCGGTGCCTCCTGGGCGAACGGGTACTCACGCCATGCGCGTTCTCGGATTTTCTTGCAGTTGCGTCGCATCGACAAGGAGCTAGACTAGAGCACACGTTTCTAGCACACTCACGCATCTCGTCGATTCCTTGGAGGTACGCCTTGTAGTCGGACAGTTTCGCCATGGCCGCGCGGCATTTCTTCAGCTCCGCCTTTATCTGTGGGATAGTCGGTGAGGCGCGCGACTGGGTGACGGCGACACAGAGAAGCATCGCGCATGCGACGGCAAGCGACAACGCTGATAGGGGTCGCGTGTGCGCCATTGGTGACTGGAGGGAATGGATATGGGGCCCGCTTCTGCCTGCTTGATTACCACTCTGGCTAAGAAATAAGAATTCTCTCGACCAAAGCCAAACTGGCGAGTGGTGACTGTACGTCGAAGTGGGTCTAATCGATTGAAGCTATCAGGCTTGAACGTCCTAGCAGAAACCAAGATCTTGAGCGCTAAGGGATGTGGGAAGAAATGAAACCTGGGGTGGGTCCCTATAGGGAGCGTGGTGTGCGAGAGAGGAAAGAAAAGAGTTGATAATTTACGGAGAGGGACCACACGGATGCGGCTTGGAGTGAACGGGTTGCTAGTTTTCTACTCAGTAATTTGACGAACCCTCTTGTGGGTAGCAGGGAGGGACGGGACCACCTGCTTACAGAAATTGTTGTGGAGCCTGGAAACATTTTCTGTGTACCACTTTCGGAAGCCTGGGATATTCGCCCTGGAAACTTGTAAATATCGCATCCGACCGAGGCGAATCAAGACTAAGCCTTCCCGGACCAGGCTGGTTGTGTGGTGGTTTTCGGTCGGACCGCGCGCCATTGGGCTGCCTTGGTTTGTCGGCGAGATGCGTGCGGCAGCGCCATGAAAACGGCTGTCCCTAGTTACTGTACTTTCGCCAAAACGTGTTTACAGCCTACGAGATAAGGTTTTGCCTGTGCCCATCCAACCAGCTGAGGATTGTCGGTTGAGCTGCTGTGCTCGGTCTGAAAAATGGCGGCGCTGCAGATAGCCTTGGTCTTTGATCTGGTTCGGCACGAAATACCCTCGTTTGTGGTGATGTTCGTCCCTCCTCAACTGGAGTTTCAGTGTACACTGGACAGCAATAACAGAGTTTCAGTTTCCATCTGAGTTGCAATTGCAATTGTGCATTATTGATGAGATGTGATATCTGGATAAATTGGTCTCACTCTTGGTTGGGGGATCTAGCAATGCGAAGAGAATAGTGTGGCGAGAGAAGGTAGTAGCAACGTAAGGAACATTGACATTACAACCACCGCCACAGCCACAGCTCCCACATCACCACACGAGCTGTCAGTTCACCATGATTCTCCCTCATTAAAATCTAGGTGGCTTGATATATAACGACGTTCCATGCCCCTTCAAAAACACTCCTTTACACAAATCCGGCATGAGAACAGCCGCCCTCGCCTTCAATGCTCCCCCCACTTTCCCCAGCACAACTCTCCCTTGGATCTTCGGATACACCTGGACTGGCACGCCTGGCAGCATGGAGTTGAGCTTTGCCCCGGTAACTGCTGCTGATAGCTGTGGATAAGTGTAACGCTTGGTGAGCACGTTGTACCCGCTAATGTAATACATGGCAGTCACGTTGTAGAGGGTTCTGGATCCGAGGGCGTAGAGGCCCTTGGTGGTGGGGATCAGGAGAGTGGTGTTGGCGATTGAGAGTAAGTCGGCACGAGAACTCTTTACTGTGTGTGTGTGGCGGGGTAAGGGAGAGAAGGGGGCGCGAGGGTTGTTGAAGAGGAGAGAAAGGGGCGGATATGGGGGAGTGGGGGCGGGAGAAGAGGGAGGGGGGGGGGGGGAGGGGAGGGGGTTTTAAGAGGGGGAAATGAGGCGAGGGAAAGAAAGGTGTTGTGTATGTCCCGGATGGGGAGCTTTGTGAAAGGGCGGGGTGGAGAGAGGTAGACAGTGGTGGGTTCGTGCACAGAAGCTGCTTATGAATTGAGTGGCTAATGGGTTAGAACAAAGCCTCGCCTCTCTGCTAAGAGAAAGCCACGAGGGAGGCGAGTTATGTTGACTTAGTAACTTCAGTGATTATTAGAGAAGAAAGGAGGGAATAAGAATGGACGGAACCACGAAATGTTGAAAAGAACAAACAGAATGAATGGGGGATGCTGACAGAGAGGACGGAGGGAAGCCATAAAGCACACAGAATGAACCAACTCCGGCCGGTGGCTGGCCGAATCCTGCTCCACGGAGCAGCCACTCAAAAAATGCAGATGGAATCGCCTTGTCGTCGGACCGCCTATTTCAGACGAATTTAGCATCACATTGTGACATCGAGACGTCACAGTCGCTGAAATCAACGGGGACTTTTGAGGCGCCTCAGAAGGCGTCGCAGTCGTTGATACTAATGGATAGTAGCACAGCACACTCACGCATTTCGTCGATCAATTGGAGGGACGCCTTGTACTGGGGAAGTCTCTGCACGGCTGCGCGACATTGCTTCAGCTCCGCCTTAATCTGTGCGACAGTCGGTGCGGCGCGCGATTGGGTCACGGCCGCGCATAGTAGAACCATCGCACATGCGACAACGAGCGACGACGTGTGTAGAGATCGCCGCGGCGACGTCTCGTGCGCCATAGTCGGCTGGCGGCGCGGGTTGTGACCTGCTTCGCCCCTGATTTGCGAAACCGGCCTGACAAAGCCTCGCTATTCGCTCGAAGCGAAGAATGCAGAGTCGGAAAGGAGAGGCACTAGGACAGAGAGCTGTGCCTCCTCGGGGTAGAACCCAACTCCTGTTCCCTCAATGGTTCTATCTGGTTCAACTGGAAATGGAGACCATGATGTGTTCATAGAGTCGAGAGAGAGAGGGAGAGAGAGAGAGCTGCTTCGCTGGCTGGAGTCGCTTCGCTCGCTACCCCACCTCGCCGCCGCTCCCTTACACTGGTACAGTAAAATGAACAGTTCAGCCGGGTTTCGCAAAACGCACCAGTCACGAGGTTCAGGTCGTCTACACACTACAGTGTACACTAGAGCTGGAGTGTGAGTGTAGTTCAATGCAGTTTGGCTGGTATGAAATTCTCAATGTTGGACTACATAATCTTAGCCATGAAAGAAGGTTTGATTGTTTCAAGAAAATGATATGGGATTTATGGTGAATTATATGCACAGCATATGAATGCTTGTTTCATCTTTGCGTTTACTAGAGGGTTTGATGATCCTACAGTAACCATAATGTATTGTAGATGTCATATATAGTATATATTGTTGGGAATAATAAGTCTTAAGCGCCTCTGTCGTGTCGAAACTCAGGACACTAGCGAAGCAGTCCGAATCGAAGCATCGCGAGTCAACCCTCGGAGGTTAGGGTAACCGCCTGGAGGTTACGAGAAGGTCAAAGGTCAGCGACCTTTGACTTGACAAATACAGCGCGACAGCAAGGACACACAACTGACTCGACATTGAGCAGTTGCCCGAGTCGCACTGTAGCGAATCGCAACAGTAAAACGGTTTTAACTTATCTATTCGTATTCCTTGTACTCTTATATAAGCCTTTGTATTTGCTTGTTTAATTAACTTACTTTGCCCTCACATACTAGCGCAATGTGGTTCAAGTACTTTCATTCAAACGCTTCCGCTACTACAATTCTACTCAGACTTAAACTCTACAAAGATCCTAGGGCATTTCAGCCCAACATGGTATGAGAGCAGTTAGAGTTTTAAAGATTATTTTCCTTTTAACACTCAATACAAAGAAGGCATGTCTGCAAGGAAGGAGAGGAGCTCCTCCAACGGCTCTCCAGGCACTACTCCTACTCCACCTCCTGTCTCTGGTCTACATACAGAGGAAGGGACTACCACGAGACCAGCAGCTGGGTCTACGGAAACGCCCGCAGGCTTCGATCCAAGCATGATGGAAAAGCTCTTCTCCTTCATCTCCTTCTACGAGCAGCACCAGCAAGGAGCACCTGCGCAATCAAACACCAGCAACAACAACAACAACGTGACGCCTACGAGTCTCGATGGCTCATCCTACACACGCGGGATTCAACAACAACAGCAACAGCCTACCTTTGCGCCATACGAGCCCCAGCGTGGCTCCGTCAGCTTCATGCCGCAACCGCAACCTGCACCAGGACAAGAAAGGGCATTGGATGCGTTACAAGTTCAATCGCAATTCGCGCGTGTCTTAAAACTACAAACGACAAAGCCTTTCGACGGCAAAGATTTCTTCACCTGGTCGTTCGAGTTCGAACTGATGATGGAAGGAGCACAGATTCTCGGCTTCTTCGACGGCTCCCTGCCATATCCAACAAACGGGACGCAATATGAGAAGCAGCAATATACTTATCAATCGATGATGGCGTACACGATACTGATGAGGAACATCACCCCGACCCAGCAGCAGAACATCAGGACTTACCGAGGCTACGGCAACTCCGCGGAGCTCGCGTACAACCACCTGAAGAACCTGTATCAAGCAACAGATAGCGTAAATCAAAGCAGGTTAATGGCGCAACTGACAACGATTGAAATGAAACCAGGCGAGAAAGGCATGGCTTATATCAGCCGCTGTCGCGAACTGCGCGACAAGCTTCTTCGATGCGGCGGGTCGATTTCAGAAGACGCCTTTGTCACGGTGGTCATCGGCGGTCTCGGCCCCCACTGGCGCTCCACTCGCGCCATATTACGAGCACACGGGAGGATTTCCGAAGCGGCACTCTGCGCCGAAATTCATGCTGAGCAGCAAGACATGGACCTGCAAGAAGAAAGACACAAGAAGAAAGCATTAGCTGTCATAGTATTATAACTGATGCATGTTTGAAGGCTATAGTGGGGTAGCACATATGGGGTACAGCTTTCTAGGGTTGTATTTGTACCCAACTCTGACTTAGTCATTTCATTCCTGTTCTCTTATCTTTCACATGGTATAGAGCGGGTCCTTCCTAAGGACCGTTTTTTTAGGGCCCACCGAAGCGCGCCCCGAAGCGCACATTTTTTTTTTTTTCGCGACCCTTCGGGTCGCCATTACTCTCGCGGCCCCGCTGTCCCTCTGACGCGGCCCCGCCACCCCTGCTTGACGCGGCCTCGCCGCCTCCTCTGCAGCGGCTCCGCCGCCTCCTCTGACGCGGCCCCGCCGCCCGCTGATCGCGGCCCCGCCGCCGGCTCTGACGCGGCCCCGCCGCCGGCTCTGACGCGGCCCCGCCGCCCGCTGATCGCGGCCCGCCGCTGGCCCTGACGCGGCTCCACCGTCAG